GAGCCAACCCACGCAGTCCATAACTCAGGCAGTCGAAGATGCCAAGCCTACTGCACCAAAGCAAGACAAACAAATGACACACGCGCACTGCAAGCCTGTTTTTCTTCCTTGGTCTCACAAGCATGACTCTCTGGCTAAAGGTGCTGATGCTCAATTCCAATCTCGCGAATTGCGAGCGAGCAGTCTGCTTGGCTCAATTCCGCTCGCGTCCTAGGCCACTCTCCGGACTTCGTCCTGACACGACTTCCTAAGACTCTCTCCGGACTAAGCCTTCCTCCGGACTTCGTCCTGAGCAAGGAAACCTGAGCTGGGTCCATCTGGCCAACCCTGCGCCAGCTGCGGGCGACTCTGCTGACCGCCAAGTAGTGGTCGCGAGGCCATGGCTGCGAAACTCCGCCAAGTCCACGAGGTAGACGTAACCGTGCGCCTTGCTGATATGCCAGCCTGGGCTCAGCCTCTCGGGGTCAAACCTGCAAATCTCATCCTGCAAGCGCTCGCGGAGGCTGCGCCCGACGCCAGCTCCTGACGTCGCCGGGTGGATCACGTGGTGTGCCAGAAGCATAAAGCGAGTGCGGCGTATGATGTCAAACGCGGTCGTGCGCGGGTTGAAGTGCATGAGCAGTTTTAAGTCTGTATTTGCGCGTGCAAGTGTGCAAGTTGGTTCACGCAGTGCTCTGCAGAAGTGTTCTCAAAAGGTTGATCTGCGCAAGTGCTGGGTGCAAGTTGCTCTGCGCAAGTGCTTTGCGCAATTGCTTTGCGCAGGTTGCTTCGCTCAAATTGCTTTGAGCAGCTTGCCTTGTGCAAGTGCTCTGCGCAAGCACGCTGTGCAAGTTGCTCTGCGCAAGTGCTCCACGCAGGCTGCTTTGCCCAAGTGCCCCATGCAAGTTGCTCTGCGCAAGTTGTTCTGCACAAGTGATCTGTGCAAGTTGCTCTGCGCAAGTTTCTTTGAGCAAGTTGCCGTCGAAGTTGTTGCTGCAAGTTGCTCGGTGCCAGTTGTGGTTGTTGCTGCAAGTTGCTCGGTGCCAGTTGCTCTGTGCAAGTTGCTCTGCGCAAGGCGAGGTTCTCTGCACAAGTGCTCTGCGCACGTGTTCGGCGCAAGTTGCGCTGCGCACGTGCTTCGCGCAAGTTGCTCTCAGAAAGTTACTCTGCGCCTCTGCACAAGTGCGCGTGTGTTTATGCGTGCGTTCGTGCAAGCGCTCTCGCGCGAGCGTGCTCGTGCGAGTTCGCGTGCAAGTGTGCTTGTGCAAGCGCAGTCGTGCGAGCGGGCTGGCGCAAGTCCGCCGTTGCATGTGTCTCTGCGCGTGTGTGTCTGCTCGCGCAAGTCTGCTCGTGCGAGTGTGCTCTTGCCGGCGCTCGTGCAAGTGTGCTCCTTCCGAGTTTGCTCGCGCAAGCGTGTCTGTGCGAGTTTGCTCGTGCAAGTGTGCTGGTCAGATTCGGATTGCGGTTTTTCTTGCGGCAAAAACACACAAACACAACCAAAGAAATAATGCAGCAAGCGAGCAAAGAAACCGGCAACCAACAAGCAAGCAGGCAAGCAAACAACCAAACTCACAACCAAACGCACAAAGCACAAACAAGCAAGGAAGAAAGCAAGCCAGCAAGCAAGCAAACCAACGCACAGTGCAAGCAACCAAGCAAAAACCAAAAAAAGACAAGACACACACACAAAACACACTGAAACTAAACACAACAACGCAGCAAGAACACACAAGGCAAACACACCAACAAAAAACACACGAAACAAACAAGCAAGCAAACAAACAAACAAACACACAAACTGACAGACTGACAGACAGACAGCCAGACAGACAAACAGACAAAGTGGCAAGCGAACACGCAAACGCACAACAACACAGAAAGACTGCAGTTAGAATCAAGACATCAAGGTAGAAAGGGAGAAAGCCACAAACAGTCAGACACAAAGAAGCACACGGACAGACAGAAGGAAAGACAGATAAACAGACAGACAGACAGACAGAGAGAGACAGACACACACAGACAGACAGACAGACAGACAGACAGACAGACAGGCAGACAGACAGAGAGAGACAGACAGACAGACAGACAGACAGACAGACAGACAGAGACAGACAGACAGACAGACAGACAGACAGAGATAGACAGACAGACAGAGATAGACAGACAGACAGACAGACAGACAGGCAGGCAGACAGACAGACAGACAAGCAGTCAAACTCACAAGCGCACACCAAAGCAAGCAATCAGACAATCGGACTACCGAGCAAACAAGCACACAAACAAACAACCAAGCAAATAGATACAAGAACAAACGAATAAACGAACGAAGGGTGGAAGGAAGCAAGCAGGCAGGCAAGCAAGCAAGCAAGCAGGAAACAAGCAAGAACAAGAACACGAACAAGCAAGGACGTGCTTGTTTAGCTTTCGGGATTTCCCGTAGGCGAAGAACGTGACTGGCGGCACCGCGCCGTTGAAGAACCCGTTGGGCCTGGACTCGGTGCCCGCAGCAGATCCGGCGGCCGCCGCGACGCCGGGGGTGGACCTAAACGCATTGGCGGCGTTACAAGGGCTGGCCGGTCTGCAGCTGCCAGGCAGGTCCCGGCAACAGCTACAAGTACGAAACAGTTTGATTGACAACAACCATGGAGCTTCCTGCAACATGTTGGTCTTCAAGGTCATAATCACGACTACCTGAAAACCAGGGGCCAAAACATCCTTAGAGGTATAACGTGTTTTGAGCGTCGCGCCTGGCCCTGGAATGGGTTCGTCATGGCTCGTATTTGTCTCGTGACAAAACAGTTTTAAAGGGTTTCATTCGGCTGGCCTTTGCCCAATCCTAAAAGAAGTTCCCGCAAAAGGACACTGAAATGGATTTGTTCAAACTGTCCTGCTCTGTCTGGTTCCTTTGGGATTCGGGACATGGGGGGGCTCCGGGCTAATCAAATTTCAACCGCAAAGGCTGGATAATTCACTCGTTTGTTCATGTCCTGCATGCTAACCACACATCTGGTTACTTTGATCATTCTAAAGAATTCCTGATAGCGTTTCCCTTTAGGATGATTCTGCAGATACTTCTTTTGCCAGTGGCTTGCTTCAGAAAGGACAGGCAATTTCAGGAGGTTTGTTGGTTCACAGGCCCTCTTTGTTTTCACAGGCTTGACAAACCAGGTCTCCCATCGGCAAATCTCCCAATCTTCAGCTGCCGCGGATCCACCACTGACAGGCACTTGGGCCGAGATCCACAAATGCTCTCAAACCAAGAAACACGTTTGTGTGAAGCTACCAGGTTTTTATCGGCCTGGGCTGGGCTCCCCACCTCCCCTTTGGGCCAGGCCTGGGCTTCGGGCTGCCCGGCTTCCCGGGCCTGGTGCCGGGTTTGTCCCCGCAGCTGCTGCTGCCGCAGATCCCTGGGCTGCAGGGCCTGCAGGGGCTCACGGCCCTGGGCCTCCAGGGAGGTATGCCCCAGGCGGGTCCTGCGGGTGCCCAATTTTGAGCTGCAATTTGGAGCTTCGATTTTCAGCATCCTAGGGCCATTCCTGTTTTCAGCTTTTTTTTTGGAGGGGCTTGAATTTTTAAATATACCCCAAGAAAGATTTAGAGCAAGGGCGCCCTCTTTTTGCCGTGGAAATCCACCCGGAGGTTTGGGTTGATTCTCAATTGTCAGCAAATGGTTTGCTGGTGCCCTCCTTTCGCTTTCGTTCTTGTCAAGAATGTCCTGTTTGTTCCCTGATTGTTTTTTTTTATTTGTTACGCCGGAAGGGTTGTTCCCCTGGGCTTCCCTCTTAGATTGTTATTTTTCCGGAAGGGTGGGAAACCAGCCCGAAAAACAGGACCCTTGTTTGAGACATACCCATATTGACGTGCCTTTGAGGGTGGAAACAATGTTTGTAGCAACTTAAAACGTGTTTTTTTTGCTGGCAGGTCTCTTCATGATTTCAGTCACCCAAAAGTTTATTATTTGTTTGCCAGTCAAATCAGGTCGGAAAAGACACGCAGGCTCAGGACCCTTTAAAGGGACACCTGAAGGAGGTTTGGTTTCAAAGGAAGCCTGCAAGAGGGAGGGCATGTTCAACCACCACATGTAATTGTACGTTTTCACCCGTGCGTATTGGTTGCTTAGCCATTGGGTTCTCACCATTACAGGCAGACCCTCACCATCAATTCTATCCATGATGGGCATGGGCTAACCATGACATAGTTAAAGCCTCAACCACTACAAAAGACCAAGCCATTCCTCTCGTGCACAATGGGGTGAAAGCAGATGGCACAATCCCCCTACCAACAGAACAGGACTTGTGCCACCTTGGTAGTGCCGTATTTACCTGCAACTTCCATTGGAATCCAAGAGTGGGATCCTAGAAAAGGCGCTTCGACCAATTTGCGCGTCGGGTGCCGCGTCGCCAGGACATGGCGGACATGGCGGCGATGACGCAGGACCCGGGCGCGGCGCCCCCGGCCTAGCGGCCTAGCGGCCTAGCGGCGTAGCGTAGCGCGCGGGAGTCGAGTCGCGAGCCGAGTCGCGAACTCCGCGCGGCCAACGGAAAGAGGAAATGAGGAGGACAAAGCGCATGGCCCGCAGGTCCGAACCTCTGAAAGTGAAGTTGAAAATTTGCAAGAGTACTTTTGGGGCTGGTGTCCCTTTCAACTACAATTTGGAGCATCATGTTGAGGGTGTCACTTGATGGATCTAGGTGTCCCTTTGAGTCAGCAAGATCGGGAACCTCGAAGCAATTGGGACCATTGGTGGAACAATAGGAACCAGAGGCATCCTCTCTGGTTTTGGTCGAAAAATGATGGAACCAGAAACTTGTGTAGGTTTGGTTCTAAGACTTCGAAGGGCAGTACAGCACCAATGGACACACTGCCTTTACCAGGCAAATGATCAAATGAATCTCCTCTGCTCAGAGTCTGCTCGGCAGTTTGCTCAATTGCTTGGGGACAACCCAACTATTGGGTTAGCCTCCTGTTTGTCACGGACAGTTTGCTTCACTTGTGCTCCGCCTGCAAATTGACCCGGCCAGGTTCGGGTTGGCCTGGCATCCGACTGGATCGCTTCGGGACAACTGGGCCGCCCTGATGCTGGGATCCTGAGACAAGACGCGCGCGGGAAACTCGTTTTGTCGTTTCCCGTTGGGTTTAGACGAGACCGTGCGTGATTTCCAGTTGGGCTTTGGCCCTTTGTGTAAGCGGAGCCCATTGCTGGAAGATGCACAATTTCAGACAGATCAAGGCAGGGGTTGGCCGGAAGGCGCGGAAGGGGAAGGTTTTGGGACCAGTAGGGGAAGGCTTGAATTTTGTTTGCCAGCTGCCAAGAGTTGGTCAGGTGTTGCGTCCAGTTTGGTCTGCCTTGCAAAAAGTTGTCCCTGCTCTGGGCAACTTGGCACAGGGTGCATTATGAAGCCGACAATGTGCAAGCCATCGAGAGACCAGGGGCGAGCCCCAAACAGGGGGCTGTTTGGTCGCCCCTCAGATTTGAGGTTTCAGAATAACCCTGGTGTGTTGCAGTCAAGTCATGATGGGCCCTAAGCGAGCTGACATGTCCCGTCCCAAGACACTTGTTTTGACTTGAAGCTAGAAACTGCTCTTGCAACAGTGCAGACATCAGCTAGCCGTCGATTTGGCACTGCAGTCAGGTCGTGATTCTGGACCACCGTGGCTCTCGCTATCACGAGGCGCCGGGCAGGTTTGTCGGCCTCTCTTTCTCTGATTTCGGCTGAATTTGGATGGGACGGTAAGCTGTAAAATTAGCTTCAGATGTTGCCAGAAGCTCTCCAGCAATAGGCACTCAGATGCTCAGGAGAGGGCTAATTAAGTGATTCTTGACCCACCTTTGACCCACTGCTGATAAAATGTTGAATTCGGCGATTCCTCCCGGTTGGTCCAAGTATACCCAGGGAGGGAGCGGAGGGAGTAGGTGCTTGGACAAGCACGAGAGCAAGGAGCTAATTACTCTCATCCGGGACCATACCCACACGACCTAATTGCCACGGCCCAAGTAGAGAACTCTGCTGAGGACCTCAACGCGTTGGAGCCGCACTTGGGCAAAGGGGCGCGAGTGCTGGCAGACAATGCACGGTACCCCAGTGCCAGGCTTGCTTCTTTTCAGCTGCCTTTCAATTGCTGCAAAACGTATGGGCTTTCGGGGGGATTTTCATTTGGAGGCATTTCAAACTTGTGCCAAAGGGTGGCAAAAGGACCTGGCAATTGCCGATGACTTGCGTTCTTTGGTACATATCCATGGACGTGGGTCGCTTTGAAGCTATGTTTGGCAACCATGTTTGTGTGTTGTGTTGTGCTGTGTTGTGTTGTGTTGTGTTGTGTTGTGTTGTGTTGTGTTGTGTTGTGTTGTGTTGTGGTGTGTGTGTGTGTGTCCCAAAAGCGATCTGCGATTGGCAAAATTACTTAGAGTCCTTCGACACCTATGCAGCCTGCCTTTGTCTCAGCACTCAGCCGGCAGCTGTCTCGGGCGCAGATGGCAAGACCGCTCCTTTGTCAAGGCTTGTTTTGCACACGGAAGATTGTTCGTTGCCCCTTCGGAGGCGTCACCAGCTTTTGTTTCATTGGACGAAGGTGACCCAACAGCCCAACCGAGCTAGGATGTCCCTTCGGGCGTAAGACAGAACAGACAGATCCCTTTCTGAAAGAGGACCCCAACCACAACCAGATGGCACAACAAAGGGTGAGCGTTGTTTCGCGGTATCGTTTTTTTTTTTTTTTTGCAACGGACTTGTGAAGGGAACAACCCAGTGACTTCACTGCGTGAGGGGGCTTAGTTGCGTTTCAACCCCAAGCAACTTGTCCTTGTGGCTTTCTAAGCTCTCTGAACTGGAGGTTCATGTACAAGCCTGCGGATGTTTACAGCATATCCTGTTGACTCAGGATCAAAGTGCCAACGCATTCTGTCGATATTCTGGTTTGAGATCACACCGGTGTGACCAGGGCACAGTCGGAAGACTACCGCAACTGGTTTGTCTTCCAGGAACCTTGCCATGTCGTTCCAATGTAAGATTACATGTGCAACAACGGTGTGTGTGAAATATGAACTTCTTACGTGATCAGGGTGTCACAGAACGCAAATTACAGTTTCAGATGTCACTTCAACGTGGGGATATGTGGTGGGAATGCAATATAATATAGGATACTACTTACTACTTCTCTAGGCTTATGACCCTCCACCCAAGATCCTATGCTTAGGGCCAATGTCCTTTTCGCGAGACGTTGGTTTCGCGGCCGGAGCGTGTCCAGGTGCTCAGCCCCGGAGCGCCGGGAGTCCCAGGGCTTTCCGCTCGGCACCGCTCGCCGTTTTGGTGGGTCCAACCATGTTCTGGAGGGATGGACTTTTTGTTGGTCCCCACCAGTTTTTTTTTTTTTTTGGGGGTAGAGCAGTAGTAGAGCATATGTGAAACAGTGTTCGCACATATCATTTAGGAACCATGGGGTGGGACACGCCATGTAATGCGATGCTCCTTGACATGGAATCATTGAACTATTGAACACAGTGACTGATGGACCCCGAGTGTGCAGGGGCACAGCGTGCTTCCTATGAAGCAGGACCAACAACTCAGGGAAGACCAACCCCGCAATCTCCGTGGCAAGTGGGCAAGTAAGCTTGCTTGGTGGATGCTGGGTAATGAGTGAGTTACGAGAGTTTTGTCAGTGTCGTTTGTGTTTATTTAATTTGGTATCAGTCAGACATTTTAAATGAGTGAATATGACTCGATTATGACTCAATTATGACTGATTTGCCAGCTGGATGGGTTTGAAGCCTCGCACAGCTTGCTGTCGCTTTGGGAGGCTGGCTTGCCGGAACCCTGAATGTAAGCGTGAATTCTGGGTCCCGCCGTTTCATGCAGATTCTTGATCCTGCCTTATTGGTCCGAGACTGTCCCTGAGGCGAGGGAGTCCGCGAAGGTGGTTTCAGCCTGCAGCCATGACATACAGGGATCCGGTTCTATGAATCCAACAGGGAGGGCAGGGCGTTCTGTTGCTATGTGGGTCTATACTGTTGAATGTTTTTTTTTTTTTTTTCCCAATGAAACTTAGGCCGCTTCCGTGCAAGGGGCAATAGCCACTTAGGCCGCTCTTTTTGAGCTTCGTGGACGGCCGCTATGATGTCACGGTGCACGAGGAGTGGAGCTGGGGCGTTTTGGGCAAATTGCTCCCTCATAGTTTCGAAACCTTCAGACCCAGATGTTCCTTTCAGGGACCCTCTCAGAATTGTTTGCCCAGATACTCGCAAGCACAGCCTCCAGCTTTGCTTCGAAAAGGGCGCCTCATATGTTGGCGCAGTCCCTGGATTTCAACAGAGCCCCCACGGGACGGGTGCGGTGTGCTTTTGTTTAAGAGCATTCAGGGGTGTAATCGATAATCTATCAATTCATTTGGTCGTGCTCACATATTCTTTGCGCGCATGAGATTTGATGAGTTTGATGAATTTGACGCCTTTGGGCCGGCTTGGCTCGGGGCAAAACGTGGTGTGTGACTGGGCTTGTCGTACAGCTACCCTCCCCTCTAAGCTGACGCACGGCGCTTCGCTCGCTTCCTTCCCAGGGACCTTTATGTCGGCTTGGTAGATGTGGGCGGGAGCTGCACCTGCGCACAAGTGAGCTCAGGATTATCAGGGCAAGTTAGGCGGGCGCGGCACATGTGGGCTCCTGCCTCAAATCCTTTTTGGCAGTGCGTCAACATTGGGGGCGCTCCTTCTTTGCTCCTTGAATTGGTGTGGTTTTTTGCCTTCTTTCTTTCTTTCTTTATTTCTTTCTTTATTTCTTTCTTTCTGGTTCTGTTTGAGATGCGGGGTTGTCTCAAGATGGGGCCACCCCCCACCACCCCACAGACGATGTCCTTGTGGCTTCCCTTTGAAGTAACCAGAGGCGGGTTCGCTCTCAACTCAGACTCTTCGGGGGCAGGTGCCGGAGTTCAGGCGCAAAGGTCGCCTGGATTGGGCCGTAGCCCCAGTCAACAGGAGAGGCACATGCCGGGTGGGAATCGAGCTGTGTGTTTGACTTTGAATATACCCTTTACATGGAAACCTCAAGAAATTCCACGCCCATTTGAGAAGCCACTGTTGGCCATTTTGGTAGGTGGTTCCATTACCTGGTGTTTACATAGGGTCTATTAGCAAGGCCTGCATAAACCTTTGTAACCATGTCGGTAGAACCAAAAGTTAAAGGCTTTTGGGCGCACACCCAAACGACATTTCCACGAATTGATTTGATTGGCCTACATGTTGTGCTTAAAAGTGACGAATATGTCCGCAATGATGCGGCAATGCCCGTTGGGAATTAGTCACAACTGGCAAGATGTTGGCATGACCTGCAATGTTGTGTTGTTGCCTTTATTGGTTCGGAATGAGGTTGTTTGTAGTCAAACTTGGGTCTGTGCTCGTCGTCATTCGCAGCTGAGCCCTGAAAAAGTAAGTCCTGTTTCGCTGTGCAAGCGCTAACTCATGAACTGGTCAGATAGGACATATCCCGTCTTTTATGGAAGCATACCGCAGCAGTTTGCCTTGGATCCGCCAAGGCTCTCCTGTTGACATTAAATGACCGGGTGGAAATCCGTGGCACATTCCACATGTGTCGAAGCTGAGCAGACAAAACAGCTCCACCAGAGGGTCTACAGGGTGAAGGGCAGGTGAGGCATATATGCCCAGCTTGAGCTGAGTACCATTCCTAACAGCCGCGGGGCAGAGTTTGGATGTATGTTCTGTTTTGCTGGTGACTCGAAGTAAACGTGCACGCAACTCCCATGTGCGCACAACTGGCATCATCACATTCAGCTGCAGTGCTGTGTTTCGGTCCAGGATGGTTCAAGATTTAGGTGTAGGGTTTGGCTTCAAGGTTTCAGGTTGAGGGATTTGGTTTAGAGTTTAGGCCCAGGTTTAGGGATCAGGATTTAGGTTAGGGTAAGGCGGGGCACAAGCAAACCATGGGCGTATATGGGCGTTGGCCGTGAAATGGTTTTATGGCAGGGTCCCACGTAGCGGTCAGTTAGCAAAATGCTGCCAAGACGCCATTGCTGCAAAAGGGGGGTGAGGCGACCTGTCCCGGATGTTTGCTGGAAAGGGCACTCCAAAAACTGGTAGGGTTGCTTTTACTGCCCTTGAAGCAGCTCAAAGCATGGCCTCCAGATTCCTTGGGCACATGTGTGAATGGTATTTCCTCGAACCTTGCGTCAAACTCAGAGAATCCTGCAGATGTTTGTAACAGGAGTGCTGAGTCCACCCTACGTTGCACCCCGACCAGATGTTGCTCTGCGCCCCGCTACATCGGCATGCGCGTCAAAGCGCGGCGCCTGCTCCGCCAGAGCGTGGCACCCAGGTCTTGTCTGTGGCCGTATGTTCCCGCTAAAGTTTAAAGGCTGGTTTAAAGGGAAACCAAAAGCAAGAACATGACGCATACCCAGGTTTTGCGGATGACCGTGTCAACCCTGCAAAGTGGCGGATTGCCCCCTTTGGGACCCCATTAATCATGCGGTGTATTGGTCTGGGGTTTGAAGGATTTCCTTTGGTTGTGTGTTCTGCTCGTGGTTGTGCACATGCGCCAAAGCCCGAAACCCTGGTCCAGGTTGGAGGGGAATAGGGGCAATACCAACTATGAACATATGAGGCCGCCATTGCAGTTATTCTGTGTTTAGGGTGGGCTGCCGTAGTACCAGGTTTTGCTAGTTGCATATCACATGGCCTTTTGGCTGCTTGTTTTTCTTCTGTTGTTCACATACTTGGCACGCTTTGTGCGTGAGGCTCTTGCTGACGTGCCCTGGACTTGTCTAGCGCCGCAACAGCCTTCTGCAACTGGAAGCGATGTTATGTTCCATTTGAGACCCGCTCCTGAAATATTCAGGACCATGGTTGTGGCCATTGGGGCTTTACCTAATTTGTGTAATACCGATGACCTAGTTTGGCATCACAAACACGAATTGCAAAACAAGGTCAGCCAACCATTTGGACTGCTCCACAACAATTAGGAAAGCAACACCCCACCTTTGGTTGCGAAATGCGCAGACACCATCAGTTCAGGGCCCAATAGTTACAAGACATTTCGTGGAGAGGCCAGGCCAATCATGCACATTGCGCCTGCTGCGTTGGCCCGGGTTAACATAGTTGGGTGTGATGATTAACTCTTTCCAGGCTAGGACAACTTGTTGGGGTCGCCTTATTCTGACTCGGTTTAAAACTTGGCTTGTCGGCCTAAATGTGTCTTGGACCCAGCTGCTTAAGCGGCCAAACATAAACGACCGTGGAAGATGTTAAGCCCCAGACCCGGGGAGGGGAGTCGTTGCTAGATCGTTTGGTTGATGTGGGAGGGCTTTTCTGATGGCTGCTCATAGGCAGGACTCAAGCAATCCCGAGACTTTCCATTGAAAGCCTGAGACCCAACGATTGGCTTCCAGTGTGTCTCCCGTTGACATCCCATAAGGAAGTTCCAACTTTGAAACATTCTAATATCATCAAATTATTTGTGTTTATGAGTGACTATGTGTCTCTGTCCATGTGTTTGTGTTTCTGTGTCTATGTGCTCGTGTCTCTGTGTCTATGTGTTTGTGAGCCTGTGCCTTGTGACAGCGTGTCTTTTGTGTTTGTGTGTCTCTGTGTGTGTGTGTGTGTTTGCTTTTGTTTGTGTGTGTGGGGGTTGGTTGCTTTGCTTGTTCCAGTCTAGTCTTGAGCCGCGCAGCACGTATTCTGTGGGAGACCCATATTGCGCTGATTGCATGGTTTGGCAAACACGGCGCAGTTTCAGGTGGACGGCGGTTCGAGGGTTAGTCAACAGATGTCAAAAGCCACCAAGCCGCCAACCCACCACTCCAGAACCGCCGAGTGTCATCCTTCCCAGCCCAGGTTCCGCGAGCTTTCAGCGGAAGTTGACAGGCTTGCCGGGATAGGGGGGGGAGCTAGGACGAGAGGTCGGCCCAGCATGGGCGATTGATGGCTGTTGCAAACCTCCGGCAGGAGAACCCGAAGTAGCTGCCGTGTGGGTATGAAGGGGACCATTCTGGTGGCTATTCGGGATTTAGGGGTTTAACCTCAACCCAATGTGACCGCCCCCATGACGCGCGTGGGTTCTTACACTTGAAGACATGAACAGCGCAAGCAACTAGCGCCATGTGCGTTTGGACTTGGAGGGTCCACGGCGCTTGGGGTGCTAATGCCCGCTTTGGGCGACTTGACGGCAGCCCTTTCACTGCGTGGCCTCAGTCGGTGGTATTTGTTTGGTTGGAGCGCCGCATTTCAAAAGCTCAGGTTCACAAACCGGGGATCAATCCCTTGCGGAATGGCGGTCCCGGTGTGCTTTTCGAAGCTGTCTTAGAGAGAGAGCTTGAGCTTCTGAGGAGGCTGAGTGATGGTTGGCAACCCTGGACTGAAGGGTACGAACAGCGTATTGTGGTTTCCCTTCAGGTAAGTGCTTGGTTTGGGCCCTTGGGCTTCTTTCACGGAGCGTCTGAGCAAGGGATGAAGCTGGAAGCTGCTCACTCTGCCTCGCTGGGAGCTGGCTCATGCTGTTCCTTGTCCCTGAGGTTGCTTTGCTTTTGTGGGCAGACCAACACCACAGCCTAAAGGCCAACTCCTGGAGCCATGACTAGTTGCATTTGCAGGTCAGTGTGCTTAGTGCGTGATGATCTTGAAGCAACGGCTAAACCAAGAACTGCAGCAAGGCGCAGCGCCCCCCATCCGAGCTTTTCATGAAGAACGTGCGCCGCATCTCCCTTTAGCCAGTGCACTGTTCTATGCCATAGGCCAGCTGTTTTGGCAGCTGGGTCAAACAGGAAGGAAAGTTTCGCAAGCAACCCTTTGTTTTCAGGGTCATTCTCGACACGACCTGGAACCCGATTTGTACTCGGCGGGGCTCGGGTGTAGGCTGTGCTGGCGCAGCTCCAGCGCCAAGGTGTACGGGGGAGACTGGCAAGAACTGCAGGACGGGCCGGAGTCGATTTACGAAAACACCTAAGTTTTAGTGACAGAGAGAGAGAGGGAGAGAGTGTGACGTTTTTGAACTCTTTCAGTACCCTGAGCACCCCCGACCTTATTTGTGTTTGCCGTGTTTTTGGTTTTACCCGGCTTGGGGTTGTGTCAACAAAAAAAGAAACCGAAGACTCATTTTTGGCGCTATTGCGCCGTTTTAGGTTCCAAGTCGGTGCATGAACTGGACTCCTGGTTTGATGGTATTTCGCGTGCAGTGCTCGCTGCCAACCGCGCGCAATGTCTGTTTTTTGTTTGGCGCGGCCCGGCTGAACGTAATGGTTGGTGTCTAGCAGACATGTTCCAATGTCTGTAGTGCGGACACCAACATGAATAGCGGTTCCATCGGTCGCAAAGTCGAGACGTGTTTTCTGCACCCTATGCACCTCTGTTATGGCATGTTTCTTCCAGGATGCAGATTGATGTTCAAGGCTTGCCAATGACAACGATGTGCTGCCGTTGATTTCAATTTTGCGACCCTGGTTCAGCATCTGAACACATTTTACGTGTTTTGCCTTTACACACATGCTTTATGCACAGGATTCCAATCTTCGGCTTGGGGCTGAACATTGTCAATTGTGCAAGAATTAGCATCCATGGTTTGCTACGCCCCTACGAGGTCGAGCGACCTGGGATTTGTGACCAAAACACCTTGATGAAGGTTACTTTTATTGACGTTTTCCCCCATTTGGGGCTGGAATTGGTATAAGTTCCGAATTGTGGGTGTCTTGATGAACATATTATCATTCACTCCAGCGATTTGTGCGATCACCATGATCATTCCGCAAGTTCAAAGCTCTATGGATCTCCATGGTGTTCTACCGAGATGCCTCCATCATATCTATGCACGAGTTCAGAGCGCTGTTCGGATCCGCTCGGCGAGCCAGGAGCAGCTGGAGCCCGTCCTACGGCGCTTCGCAGACGCCCGCGGCTGGACGTCGGCGCGGCAAAACCGTTGAATGCAGTCCGAGAAGGCTTCAGCTCGGTGCAGGGAAGAAGGGGAGGCCAAATTTGGCTGGCCCCTTTTGCGACCTTTCAGATGATCAAGTGAAAACAAGGGCAGGGTCCAACCTTGGGATCCCTGTCTTTTCAATGCTGAGTTTTGGGCGTCCGAAAATTGGGGGCCTTTGATTGGATAGTTCCAACAACAAGAGCATCAAACCAGCAGGATACCAAACATTCAGATCCCCCTTTTGGAAACAAATATGCAACACATAGCATCTGTGTTGGAAATTGGAAGATATTCCTTTCTCAAGCGGTGTAGAAGCAAGGGTAAACCAGCAAGCAACTGACAAATCTGCAAACAGTTGGATGAACGTTTCACGTTGGGAAGATGGTCTCTGTCTATTCCAACGCAGCGATCCAGTCTCAAAACCTTCTTTGCCTTGCGGCAAAGGAGCTGCCGCTGGAAAGCTTCTTATAACGAATATGTCTTGAAGTGGAATAGGGTAGAACTCCAAAAGCGAAGGCGACCAGGAAAACGGCAGGCTCCTCACTATTCGGTTTGCAGGTCTTGAGACGAAAGCCTGAACAAACCTCTGTTTCGCGAATATGTGGTTTCTTGAACCTTGACTTCTTAGAATTACGATAGATGACAGAAACGACTGTTTTTTTTTTATAAAAGAGCTTGCTTTGAAGACCTCAACGGACAAGTCATGATGTCGCTAGTCAAAAATAGGAATCCTGGCAACCTCCTATAGGGCAAACTGGGATGCGCTGGGTCGACACAACCATTTCTTGGTCCCCTTTGGAGACACCCCCGCCCGCTTGTCTGGCAGCCCTCTACCATGCCTGAGGTCCGCCTCCATGACAGGCTGGCTGGGGGGGGATATGTTGTTGCAAGCTGTGGTCATGTGCATGGGTTGGAGGGTGGCCCCTTTAGAGTTGGGTGAAATCCCACGAAAAATAGGGGGGGATGCGGGGGGCGGGTCTGAACATCAATTTTTGACTTTTTTGGGTTCACTTAACTTAAAGTGAGTTTCTTTTGCCTGGGTGATGTTGAATCCAAAGTGAAACATGGCGAACTATAGGGAGCATTGGTCTGGCAATTTAGATGTCCTGCTGGACAGTTAAACGGCCTCAAATCACCCATTTCGGACGCGGAGAAGGTGTTAGTTGTGTCACCTTTAAAGGTACAGCTGATTTTCTTGTGGCCGTTTTTGGCATGTGACACAGGTATGAGACCAGGACATGTTCCGCACACAAGCAAGGCAGTGAAGTCCACAGCAGCGACCGCTGCGTGGCATTTCCCACTCACTGCACCATTTTGCAACACTTCGAACTCATGATGTATTCAAACAGCAAATATGGTGAAGAACATACGATTCCCCATGTGAGGTTAAGTCAACATTTTGAGTGTTTCATGTTGGATGAGGGACAACGGGGTCTCACATGTCAACCACACAAAGTCCGGGAGGGGACAATTCTCCATGATCATGGTTCAAATATAGGGAAGCCCCAACCATTGTGGATTTCCTTGCTTGTGGGACGCGAGGCTGGACACCCTACGACAGCTGGCCACTCAGGCCGGGTGTTGGTCACCCGGAAACTCTTGGTTTGCTTTTGTTATCCCTCCAAAAGCACAGCGCAAGTTGTTCCCAACAAAGGATGCACTATATGGTGATTATTTATTATTCATGTTACAAGCTGCCGTGAGCTCAATATTTACAGGCAGTTTCTAGTATGTATTAACGTTTTTTAGTGTTTTGTGGGCGTGTTGTCAAGCTGGTAAAGAGCAGGTTCCAAACTACAGTTTTAACAACCTGCCACCTACACATGCACGCGTGAAACTAGGAAGTCTTCTAGTTGATAGGCGTCTTGTTTTCGGATCGTTTTCAAGGGGGCTCCTAGTTTTGACACAGCTGTAAGGACCCTTAATGAGTTGGACCGCAACAAAGGCCGGCCCGCGTGCAACAAGAGCCACACAATTGTGCCAACTGTTTGACAGGCTCTCATGTGTCAAATTCGGGTTGGATACCTTGGGCCATGAAGAAGACATTTACAAGAAACCGTTGGGGCGAGCACGTCCTGAAATGCGGATTCGCTATTTGAAGAAGGCTCAAGAGTAAGCAGATGGAGTCAAGCCTACTGTTTGGATCTACCGCAAGTTTGGGGTCGACAACTGTCGACATAGTTGCGCAATTTCGCCGAATGTTGCTCTCCCTCTTGGTGGCCTTTCAAAGGTACTATGTTTGTGGGAAGGGTAGCCCTCCACCATTGATCAAATTCCCGAATCGTGGCCCTTGTGAAGGCCTTGTCACCTCGGACCAACATCCGGTCGCCACCTTCTCCTGGGACGCGGCTTTGGCTGCAGTTTTCCATCGTGGGCAGATGTGGTTTTGAAGGAGTTTTGAGATAAGGGAGGGTTCCCTACGATTTTCCCTTGCGTCATACCTACCAAGGGAAACTTACCTCAAATGAGCTAACAAGGTGATGTTTACAGCCACCAAGTAGGGGAAGCGGGCTCCTGCCAACTGTGCGCAAGGAACAAGGAACTGCAATTTTGTTCTTTCTAGTCAGCGATCAACCGCTTCAGTAAGATTGACTCGTCGCAGTATGTTGGCTTGCTTAAAAAGGAGCCAACAGGAAACCAAGCATCATGGCGGTTCACGCCTGTGGGGGGTTTACGCCTGACATATTGCGGGCTCGCAACGAGCTCCTTTGCCGAGTAGTGTACCGGACCAGCCTCTAGGCGTAGAGCCCGTGACAATGCTCATATTCCAACCAAGCTGTCTAACAACAATACTATCTCTTAGGTTTCTTGGAGTTGGAACTTGGAACCCGTTGGCATTGGTTGCCTACTTCTCCGATAAATAAATGGAATCGCTGCACAGGCTTCCAGGAAACAAGTTGGGTGTCTCAAATTGAGACCCCCGAACTGGGTGGTGTTCCTTTCGTTCAAAACTGACACCAAGACATGTTCCAAGTCTTGACCTCCAAACAAGAAGTCGGCACGATATCCAAGGCTGACCCACTCTCCAGTGACGCGCACGGACGCTCAGACGGACCGCCTGCTCGCGTAGGTATGGGTACTCTAGCACCTCAAAATCGGTGGTTTGGAAAAAGCAGCACACCCCTTGGCTTTCTTCCCAGCAAAGTGATCAGCGTGCAAGGCTTGAGCCACAGTTCATCTTGCTACCCCTAGCTGCATGATGAGGTGCCTTCATGCCAATCAACATGGAAGGGCACATGCCCCTTTTGATTTTGAATTATATTCCTTGTGGAAAGGAAGTCTGTGCACTTCCTTGTTTGCTGGGACGGTATCACTTTTGAACTGGTCACTCAGGGAAACTCCCCCGAATAGCCATGCGAGAGACACAGTGCATTTCAAAAGCATGGCACCGAAGTTGGCGCATGTTGGCTCAATACTCAGCTCTCGGCTGAGGCTACAGCTTTCCCAAGGCAAGGTCAGCATCGCCGCCGAGGCCACCTGTGTTGAGGAGGGACGAGTATTGCCAATATGACTTGAGGATGCCGGTTCCAAGGGTGTTTCGAAGTAACTTTAGAAGGAATACCCGATCTCGGGTTCCTTATTTGGACACCGGCCCATATTCAAGAGAGCGCAACTGTATGTACAATGTACATATATATATATATATGTAAGTTATAGTTATGTTATCATTAGTACGATTGGTATTATCATTATTATTCTCACTACTATTATGACCCTCAGAGATAGGCAATCACTGAACATCAGCAAAAATATAAAAATACAGACGCGGAAACAAACAAAAAACAACACAAAAAAACAAAAAAGAACAACTAAAAAACAAAAAACTGCAGCCAGAAACCCTTCAGGGGCAGACCAGGTATCCAAAATGTGCAAAAACACGAGGAAAAACACAAAAAGAACAAACAAAAAACAAATAAAAAACAAAATGCAGCCCGGGACACTTCAGGGGCAGACCAGGCATCCAAAATGTGTAAAAAACACGGAGAAAAAAACAAAAAAAGAACAAAAAAAGAACAAAAAAAGAACAAATAAACAACAAAATGCAGCCCGGGACACTTCAGGGGCAGACCAGGCATCCAAAATGTGTAAAAACACGAGGAAAAAAACAAAAAAAGAACAAAAAAAAACAAATAAAAAACAAAATGCAGCCCGGGACACTTCAGGGGCAGACCAAGCATGCAAAATGTGTAAAAACACGAGGAACAAAAAATAACAAAAAAAAGAACAAAAAAAGAACAAATCAACAACAAAATGCAGCCCGGGACACTTCAGGGGCAGACCAGGCATCCAAAATGTGCAAAAACACGGGGAAAAAAACAAAAAGAACAAACAAACAACAGATAAAACACAAAATGCAGCCCGGGACACTTCAGGGGCAGACCAAGCATGCAAAATGTGTAAAAACACGAGGAAAAAATAAAAAGAACAAAAAAAGGCAAAATGCAGCCCGGGACACGTCAGGGGCAGACCAGGCATCCAAAATGTGCAAAAACATAGGGAAAAAAACAAAAAAAGAACAAACAAAAAACAAAAAAACAACAACAAAAGAACAACTAAACAACAAAATGCAGCCCGGGACACTTCAGGGGCAGACCAGGCATCCAAAATGTGTAAAAACACGAGGAGGAAAACAAAAAAAGAACAAAAAAAGAACAAATAAACAACAAAATGCAGCCCGGGACACTTCAGGGGCAGACCAAGCATGCAAAATGTGTAAAAACATGAGGAAAAAAGCAAAAAAAGAGCAACAAAAGAACAAATAAACAACAAAATGCAGCCCGGGACACTTCAGGGGCAGACCAGGCATCGAAAATGTGTAAAAACACGAGGAAAAAGAAAAAAAGAACAAACAAAGAACAAATAAACAACAAAATGCAGCCCGGGACACTTCAGGGGCAGACCAGGCATCCAAAATGTGTAAAAAAACACGGAGAAAAAACAAAAAAAGAACAAAAAAGAACAAAAAAGAACAAAAAAGAACAAAATGCAGCCCGGGACACTTCAGGGGCAGACCAGGCATCCAACATGTGCAAAAACACGAGGAAAAAAGCAAAAAAAGAACAAACAAAAAACAAAGCAAAAACAACAAAAGAACAAATAAACAACAAAATGCCGCCCGTGACACTTCAGGGGCAGACCAGGCATCCCTGTTTCCCTTTTTCTGTGCATTCGTGTTGTTTGTTTTCTGTTTTTTGTCTGTTTGTTTTCTGTTTTTTTGTTTTGTTTTTTCCCCCGGGGTGTTTTTTTGTTTTGTTTTGTTTGTCAGTGTGTATATTTGGTTTGCATTGTTTTTGTTTTTGTTTGTTTTTTGTTTGTTTTTTGTATCTTTTTTGTACTTCCCAGTTATTGCCTCAGTGAAAGTCTTAACACTACTAGGAAAACAGCGATCATTGTGATTGGCATCGTTATGTATACAATGATACAATGACAGACCACCGTGACGGCAAAAACAAAACACAATGAACATGATACGCATATCTCATGTTGTATGGTTCGACGCTGGGCCACAGCGATGTGCAGAGGAGATTGCGGCAACGAGAGGCCGTACCCCGTGAGTCAAGCAGAAGCAAAGGAGTGGGTGAGGGCTAAGCTCCTGAGTTATTCGGGCTGATCATTTTAGCTGAGGTTAGGTCACAAGGGTGATGTTCATGGCTTGGAGGTTGGGAGTGGTCTTCCAGAAGAGGCGACCCTTGCAGTAGATGGCTCCTAAGTCCTCATCCCATGCTACGAACACAAGCTCCGAACCCAAACCATGAGCCCAAACAACCACCCCAAGCCATAAGACCCATGAACACTATTTGCACCTTGCCTTAATCCAAATGTTTGCTTGCCTCCGTGTCGCGGCAGACGGACGATTCAGGCAGCGCGTGCACATGCCCGTCCCGCAGCCAACGTCTTGTACCTGCAGGCAAGCTGTGGAAGGTTTCGCATTGAGATGGGCTTCAGCAAGTCACCAACATTCCAGCTCCGACTCGGGTGTTTGTTTGTTTGTTTGTTTGTTTGTTTGTGTGTGTGTGGGTGTGTGGGTGTGTGGGTGTGTGTGGTTGTGTGTGCGTTTGGTGTGTGTTTCTTTGCGTCTGCTTGCGTTTGCTTTCCGTTCACAGCCAAGGGGTGCCAGGGCCAAGTGAACGGAAGTTAGTTGAGTCTTTGTTGTCACGACCTCAAATTCCTGGATAGTTGAGTTAGTGACAAGCCTTATCTTCACTGAAAGATCCGGGAAACTGGTACATGTTGCTTACCAGGCTGGCCTTGTGTAGCAGAGGTGACGAAGGAAGTCCACCATCAGGCAGACAGGCACAGCAAAGAATGAAAGAATGGCAAACATAGTGCCAGTGAAATCGCTGCAGGTCAGCTCACTCATCATGTTCCAGGGTTCTGCGTCCCAACTCCAAGCGTGAGGACCGTCCCTGGCAAATCAGCCAAAGGCGTGCCAGCATGCTTTGCCTAGGGTTTTGTTTCTCTCCTGCTCCAATAATCTTCAGCAATGCGTTGTAACCTGTTTTGCATTTGTTCCTGAGGTTATCAATTCAGGCCAGTAGAATGTCCCGACCTATATAAGTTACACTTGTGTTTGTGCCTTGTGCGATTCCACTGTTTTTGCGACATCAAACATGAGAAGACTGGTCAAGACAGCCCTGCCGCATTGACACTGCATGTCATGAGCTTCATGGCCCCTTACAAGGTGTCACAAAGGGCTGAAGAGTCACTCGTAGCATGATCCTATCACGGCTATATTTGTGATTTTTAAGATATTTCATGACCCCATTCCAATTCCTTAGGCCCTTAGACTACACAAAGCGTTGCATGTTTCATCACTGGCTCATTGCGACATGTGCGAACACGAAACGGTGCACGTGATGGCATTGAGGAGTGAAATCCTCTGGGGACCAACAATTAATGACCTCGACCTCGCCTAGGATGCATTTTAGCTGACGCTGGCTGTGCCATCTATGTTTGTCTGCAAATGGGGGAGCCAGCAACATGGCCTTTGGGTTTCTCTTTGAAACAACTCGAAAAAATGCTGCCCTCAAACATGACGCACCCACACATGAGCCGCGCGTGTTGAACAGGATGGTTGCTAGGTATTCTTGAAGATAGGAATGATTCATTGTCCAAGGAAACTGTTGCCGTGCCCGTGCCTCAAAACGATACACCTATTCCTCCCCCTTGGCCACAGGGCAACTTCCGCTCCCATGATTCGCCCCGCACCAGTCCTGGCCCAAGAAGCGTCGTGCAGCGATGTCGGAAGCCGTGAATATTGTATCATTACATCAACTTAGAGGAACAAGAACACCTTCTATATATATATATATGTGTTTGTCATTTGCCAGGCTTTTGGTTGAATGGCACTGGTTTGCACCGTTTTATAAGCGTGTTGCGAGGCAAGTGTACCATTTTGCAAGACGTAGAATCCTTGCTCCGTTTGAGCCGCTTCAGTGCAAACGTATCCTTGAGTCTCGCTGGGCGTAGGCCTCTTACGGAATGTGATCCATCGCGGTTTGTCCGATCCATCGGACGAGTTTGAACAGTTTTGGTTGCCAAACCAGAGGGGTGTTGAGATGGATGGGCAGGTTTGCTTCTGCTTTGCTTGCGACACGACATGCGCGATGTACGGAGAGCCTGTGCAAAGCTCGTGCCAGCTGCAGGTGTTTGCTCCATGGACGCCTTGATTCGTTGCATGCCCGTTCTAAAATGGTTGTCTTTGCGAGTTGTTTCTCGCGCCGTGCTATGGGTTGCAGATTGATGGGGGCATCAACAACTCGCTTCATGGACACAGGAAAGATCTGAGGCAGAGTTGAACTCTGCTATCAGGAAATCACTGTTCATTCAATGTACTGCTTGCGCCGTGGGCTAACGTAAGGCTCGCAGGTGCAGTGATTTTGCAATCACGCCAATATGCTCTCCCATCGTTGTGAAGATTGGATTCTAGACCGATTTCTGTCATACCAAGATGATATCCTTTGACGTGACAACACAGGGATGGCCCACTTTAGAATCACCGAAAAGTTTAATTTCCACATCCATATTTTCAGGTTACGCTGTCTCGAGGTTCATACAGATTTGCCTCCCAAAAGACATGCTTTCATCCATTGGCCCGCCAAGCCCAGCGGAAGCCAGAGTACTCTGTGGCAAAGACTTGAACAAACAGTTCTTTGGAGTTGCAACCGGCTGTTGGGTTTCAGCTTTTTCTCCAGCCCTTTTGGATTCGCATGGGAGCAACCCACGAAATGGCCGGAATCCCCATAACCCACGAAATGGACCCCGGACCCGGCGTTCGGCGTTTTCGCATGCGAGCTCGAGGCTCGGCCCACCTTGATCCGTGTGGCTGCGGCGGCGGCCAATGGTGCCGCCCACGTGCGCACGGAGAGCCAGGCCGGACATTGGGGTCTGTGGGTTGTTGTTTTTTTTGGGAGGGTGCCCTCTTCAGGTTGGCGTAAAAGAAAACCAAGAGGCACACCATTTCATTTTGTTGTGGGCGGGCCTATTTTGAGACACATATCCGCATGGGTCAGTGTGTTTTTGTTTTCGCTGTGGAAGGTTTGAGGGTGTCTGACGAGAGGTGGAGAGGTTCGGAGCTCTAGTCAAGAGTTCCAGAACCGGGCGTTGCTGTTAGGGATGTCGCCTGAACTTTTCGAGGCTGCTTTTGTTTTTGGGTGGATTGAAAGGGGAAAGCAAAGGGAAAGCCAAAACTTTGAAGGTCCTAAATTGACACTCATCCACATGGTGGTTTGGGAAAATGGCCATATCCCATGAAGGGGCCTTACTTGGGGATCCCTCATTTTCGTCTTGTGAAGAGCGATTTGCCCGGATCGTCCTGAATGTTTATGATGAACGCCCCCCTTGGATCTTTTGTCTTTGGCGGTTGTCTATTCAAGGTCAATCCAAAAGCAAGCTGAGCATTTTGGGCGCCCTCAATGTTGAGACGGGAAATAATTAAAGTTCGGCCATGATTTTATCATCTGTGATCCATTTGGGGTTCGATCATGGGGAGACGAACCAACTAACATCAATCACAATACGCGAGGGATGGAACCCCAATTGTTCCCATGTCCTTTACGGTAATCGCATGTTTTGGCCGTGGCTCACATGGCGGCATGGTCATGAATTGAAAACCTTCTCAAACATCGTTGGTTGCATAAATCCCCCCCACCCATTCACTGGTCAGTGTCCACCAACGATGTTCATGCCGCATGGGTGTGCTCTTGGTTTTTTGAGAGTCTCTTTTATATGGTTGGGTGCAGCAAAGTCAAAACACAACCGCACGCGAGCGTGCGGTGTTTGTATGTGGGTGTTTGCGTTTGTTTGCGTACTTGCTTGCTTGCTTGCTTGCTTGTTTGTTTGTTTGTTTGTCTGTGTTTGAGAGTCTGCGCGTCTATGCGTTTGTGCGTATTTGTGGAGACTAGACCGAGTCAGGAAACAAGTGACCCTGTCACGAAACATGAATCAGGAAATCACAGGGGTGAGTCAAGAAATAACCAGAGGCAAGTCAAGAAACAAAGGTGATAAAGATTAAGATCGTGAGTGAGGAAACGCGGAAACGTGAATCAGGAACCGTAATTCAGAAATGATGTGGCCAGTGCCTTTGAATTTGCGTTGATGCTGGGAATGCAAGTTTTGCACTGCGTGCTTTGCGCTCTGCCGCGCGCTTGGTGCATTGTTCCTTGATGTCATCGTCATGGCTCGGATCAAGGAACAACCTGGCGCGCAAAGCTGCTCGAATCAGGAGAGAGGGGAGACATGGGGTGACATGTGTGATGCTGGCCGTAATGCAAGGGGGATGCAAAAGCCGCTGCGTGCTTTGCGTTTCCGTTTGCTTTTTGCATTGTTCCTTGATACCGTCTTGGCCCAAATCAAGGTTGCGTTTTTTTCGGGTTTCAGTTTAGGGCTTGGGTTTTTTAGGTTTCAGGCTCAGGGTTCTCAGGGCTTAGGTTTAGGGTTCTTAGGGTTGAGGTTTTGGTTTTCGGTGTGTATATCTGAAGCTTCATCTAGAACACAAATAAAGACAGTAGTGGAGAAAACGCACGGTTACAAACAGGGGTCACGAAGCCGAACAACGGCCAAATCACGTAGCGGGGAAGCCGAACAACGGCCCTAACACCACCCCGACGCGCTGTTCTTGTCGTTTCCACGTCCATTCCGGACTCACTGCTGTTTCCTGACTCACGAAATCGACTCCAAAGTTTTCACAGCTCGCCGACGCGGTGTTCCTGTCGTTCCCACTTCGTTTCCCGACTCTCCGCTGATTCCTGACTCACGAAACCTTACTCACTTGACTCCAAACTCTTGAGAGCACCCCGGCACGCTGTTCCTGTCGTGGCCGGGCCGTTTCCTGACTGGCGGTCGTTTCCTGACTCACGAAACCTTATTCACTTAACTCCAAATTTTTGAGAGCGTCGTTCCTGTTTCCTGGCTCACGAAGCCTTATTCACTTGACCCCGCCGCATTGTTCCTGTCGTTTCCACGTCGTTTCCTGACACACCGTTGTTTCCTGACTCACGAAGCCTGATTCGCTCGACTCCAAATCCCCGACGCGCTCTTCCTGTTGTTTCCGAGGCCGTTTCATGGAACACGACTGTTTCCTGACTCGCGGAACCGTCAAACCACATCTACATAGTTCTGGACACGGCCCGGCCTGTTTCCTGACTTGGACCCACCCATTTCCTGACTTTGTCCAACCTGTTTCCTGACTTTGTTTCCTGACTTGCCCCTTACCCCGTATCTGTGCCTTTGGGTCTGTGCCTCTGTGTCCCTGTCTCTGGGTGGGTGGGGGGCTTGAGCTTTGCGGCGAAGTACTTGCCCGTCGGACTCGGTCAACCGCAATTATTGAGAGCAACCATCACATTGGGTTTCTGCCTTGAGCTCGATGCCAGAAGGCTATGTATGAAGGAAGGCAATTTAGATGTCGTGGACAGTGAGGGCAGTTTGTTGCGACTTTGAGCAGGACCCGCCTAAACAAAAGCGACACATAGTCCTGGCCAAATGAAGCCAAGCTTTTCACAAGTTGCTCTTCCAATTTGCTGGAGATTGCTGGAAAGGTGAACGTATACCTCAACTCCCCGGGATGATTTATGCAATCTGAGTGTCAAAGCGTGGCTATTCACCACTTTGAACCAAATGTTGCGGGCTGCCCAAATGCTGCAAGTAAAACAAAGCAAAAACGCGAATTTCTGCAAGTCCAGGCAGTAGCCCTGAACCGCAGTAGCCCTTAACCTGCCACTCAGCGTCTAACCGACATCGAGGCGTCCCACGCGCTTCAGCAGTTAGAGGATGCGCGAGGCTCAGCTCTACCCCCCACCCATTTCGATAGGTGCGTGTGCGTGTGTGCTTCTGAAGGCTGAACCGAGGAGGGGGTTTTCCTGAGTTGACTTGGGCCAGGTTAACTCGGAGATGTTGGTGTAGCGCATTGTTGTGTTTGTTTAAAATGCATTTGGGGCCCGTTTGGGGAGTTGTCGACGAATAGGGCACCCAGGGAATGCTTCTTGGGAGCATCGTATATACACAAAAAACACTTCCCATTGCTAGCAGCTAGCAAGCTCTGACATGAGCATGAACCTGTATTTGCAGCCTTCCGTGGACATGGTTGTGGGCAAAGATTAGAGCTTGCCACTGTTTGTAAGTAGTCAAGGGAATCCCTTCGATGGTTCACTTTGGTATCACAGAACGGTAATTTCCCAAGGGTTCTGTCTCTCAGGTGTTCAATGTTCTCAGAAGCCTTCTAAGAACCCCTATTCGAAGAGCCTTCCCTGGGTCCTTGGGGCAGTTTTGCGCCGAGGTGCGGCACAGGGTGCAGGCGGAGTTCTGGTCCTGCAGTATGTGACGCGACCGGGCCGACATGAAGCCATGGGCGTTGGGTTCTTGCCGAACATCTGAAGCTTCTTTTTCGGGGCTCAGGGTTTTTATGTTTTTATTGTACACCCCCGACGCCCTGAAATTACACCCAATTACATGGGATCGCACCGTGCCACGGGAGAATGATGCGGCATGGCTAGTTCTATGGGAAGAACACCCACGGGCACTCCTACAACTTCCCAGTTGTAATCATCCTATTTTGCACAAAAGCCTGCACTCCTGGTTTGTGAGCCACAACCTCACCTGCGACTCCATGAAGCTTCCTTTCTCGGGCCGTGATTTCAGGGGATCCAGTAGTCTACTCAGCATACCACGCTGTTGGGCCATTGCTTGAAGAGCAAGACATCATGACAAACGAGGAGGAAGTAGTCTGGGCATCGTCAATCCCAGCTGGATTGAGACCCGACAGGGCGCACATGGCAATATGTGTTCATCTCCCTGGTTCGGCGCAACACGGATTTTTGTGATTTCACACAAAGGTTCTGTGTTTCAATTTCCACAGAGACGTTGCCCGTCTTCTGGAAACATGGCACTAGAACCCTTAACCCCGCCTGTGCATTCTTGGAAGCAAGCCTGGCAGCCTTCATATCTTCAACACCGCCCGCTGGGCATGTCAACACAAAAAGGCTTCATTGTGGTGGAGCGATGCTTAAACACTGGTTATCTATGAATTTAAATGGGGATCTCAAGCACTCGTACGTAGCGTTGATTGCCTGGTTTGCCCAAAGAAAAGGCACTTGCTTTGTGTGGTAAACCTGCTGCCAAGTGTTGGGCTGCAGCTAGCAGCAGCAAATCAGCAAGACTGCTGCTGCTCGGTAGGTTGCAAAGTGGATGCTCAGGTGGTTCCTACCTTTTCACACCTTTCATACCGGGATTCCTGGAAAAGACGGACAATGCTGAGACTTGGATGTCCATTGTGCAAGTTAAAGCCCGCGCACGCCCTTTTCAGATTGGAACGGGGCTGCACGAAATGTTGAGATGGAAGATGGCAAACACGGCCTTGACTGGTGGCAACTTTTCTGCTTGCACGCAAGACGGTTGCTTTCGGTGGAACACCTCCCAAGTGTTGGCTACGTGTTGGCTACACCTCTCCATGCACGCAGATGGCAAGGGGACATACAAGGAGCCCAGCCTGCGCAACGAGATACGTGTAAGCTTCTGGAGCCCGGTCGCTAGGCCCGAGCGAGCGAGGCTTGCGAAGTCAAAAGTAGGGTGTCTGAAAAGTGGGGAACATCACAAGCGATAAAGTTGACGATGTTCTTTTGCTGTGTTGATTCTGGATGGCCTTTGAAGGGACCCCACCAATTTAGGACTCCTTAATTTTAGGAAACAGCCGCATCGATCTCGCACGAGCACGGGGGGGGGGTTGACGAGCTGAGTGCGGGAGAAAAAGATGAGCCACTACTGCGCTTGCAAGTCGATTCCGGGCGTTATTATGGATAGTAACCAGAGAACTGCCTTTCAGGATCGATGACAACGGTAACGCTTCTCAACGCCCTCTCCAGATCTGAAGCTCGGTCCTTGCAGAATACTAAAGGAACATGTCGAGGCAAGCCAGCGGTCTGTTACTCATGTCCATGTGCTCATTGTCGGCTCAGCACTCATCATCACCTTTCAGTGTGTAGATATGCTCTGAAGTTGGAAAAGGGCCGACTTCAACCATGGCGAGCCTTGATTGAGTATCAACCTTTGGAATGAAGCAGCATCGTCTCGCGTTATATGGGTAAACGGACCAGACAACGCTGTGTTTGATGGCGGCTTCCTAAAAACTTGCCTTGATATGTTGCTGACCAGCTCTCACTTTGTATTATAAGCTGTAACTTCTGACATTTTCTCGTGATTTGCTGAAACGCAATTGGCATTCTGCTTGTTTGGAATTCTTAAGTTGGGTCCTCATTTGCAGTCCTCGGTCAGCACGCAAGCTCCACAAAACAAATGAGCCTGCAACCATTTTTGCACAAGCTCATGCAAAGGTTTCAGGTCGCTTGCTCTTTTGCGGCTGAACAGCGGAATCGGCACTTCAACAGGATCCTTGCCCTGAACCGGTCTTCGGATGTTTGTCGTGTGTCGGTGACTGGCCAACTTGCATTTGGCCCACCATCTGGCTTTGTTCCTTGCTGCACACCCATGTCCGTTCATTTTGGTCAAGCTGCATCACCCCCTGCAAGGATGCAGTGATTCAGGCCGGTGCATTCCATAAGATTCATTTCGGGCCGAGTGAGATGGATGCGGCCAGCTCCATTTGTCCCCCCCTGGCCCCACGGAGCAGGCGTCATATCTGGCGCCGGCAAGGCTTAAGCGCAATCTGGAGGAAAGTTGGATTAGTGCCTGGGCCTCTCGGAACCACGGCGGGGCCGGGAGCTCTGATTTGTTGGACTCAGAGAGAACCGCGGTGGAAGACAGCTGAATTAGACAAGAATTCATCTCCCTAAAGGTGGTGCTGGGCTCCTTTTATGGAGGCTGTCCCGAAAGAAGTGGCATAAGGACAGACCCGGAGAGAATTTCCTGAGGGCTGGAACTTGCTAGTTCCCGATTCCATGGCCCATCAGAAAACAATGCATATGAAAGTCATAGCCCCCGAGGATCCAAGTATTTTCCAAGGAGACTTTGACTCCTTTTTAACTCCTTAAAGCCATCCTCTCAGCGGGTACTTTGACCCTTTGCGAATGGACCGTGTCAGTAGTGCGCCGGCGCAAAAGTGGATAGTGACGACGACTAAGGAAAGAGCACCCTCATTCGCAGGTGGCAGGTAGTGGGAACTCAAACCGAACCATCGTCCTTTCGGCATCCTTTGTCAGACAGCCTGACCAACCAGAGGGCCATTTCAGGTCACACGTTGATAGTTCGGGACTCTGGGCTCGCATTGGCCGATCGTTGGCGCCAGGTGGGTTTTGGCTTAAGTTGACTAGAAAGAAGCGCAGGTATTCTGCGTCAGGTATTCTGCGTCAGATTGCATTGCCGGTCCAAAGCCTGCCGAGGCTGCTGCGTGCAGTAGGCTCATTCTGCCGCTGTGCACGGGTCAACAACCTGGTTATGGGCAACTGCCAGCCAGGGAGCCTGGTGACAAGTCTGAGAGCCGATCGCCAAAACTGAATGGCTCACCTATGCTCATTTGTTTTGGGCTGTAAGCCCCATCAATTGATGTATGTCAAAATTTGTCCCACGCCCAACGACAAAGAGACAAAATAGGGATGGCAAAAAACAACGCATGAGGCTTGGGTGGGGATTGTCCCCAATAAGCCTATGGTGCGTTCAAACAGACCTCAACTGGCCCAAACAATTGACAGACACGTGGTGTGTTTCTCCTTTTCCTGCCGGCACCGTCTAGCAACCCCGCACGATGTATGTCTGCAGATTGCAAACACGCAGAGTTGTTCTGTTGTCCCCAAAATCAGAAGCAGCGCGGGTGTGCCCTGACACTTGCCCACATCTTCAAAGCCTGCCACGTGCTTTGTTGGTTTGACCCACAGCAACCTTTTGCTTGGTAGTTTGGGGGCATGTTCCAAGGTCTGCCTATCTATGTTTCTGTCTCTGTCTTTGTCTTCGTCTCTATGCTAGTGATGTTCTCTGTGTTTGTCAGTATCTCTGTCTGTGTGTGTGCGTGTGTCTGCCTGCCTGCCGGTCTGCTTGTCTGTCTGCCTGTTTGTCCTTTTCTGTCAGTCACTGCGTTTAACTGTGTTGCCTGCCTGTTTGCTGGGTGGGTGTTTGAGTGGGTAGGTGTGTGGCTTAGTAGTGGTTGGTTAGCTGTGTGTGCTTTGTTCTAGAGACAGACTCGAGAGGCATCATCTGAGACAATTGCAAACCACACAGTATTTGGAATTGGGATGAGTTTGCCAGATTCCAGCCGTTAGGTTTTGGGACGGAGAAAGTCACAGATATCAGTGGATATCCTGGACTGGCTACCTTCAGGGCAGGAACTCAACAGGCAGCTTTTCCTTTTCCAGTAGCCAGATGCGGTGAAGTCCCAAAGAGGCGCTTTATTTGCGAGTCGCTTGGCACCCAGCGTGTTTGTTTGTGTGTTCTGCTCAGGCAGGAATGCCAGCTTTCCATGTTGCTGGGAGGGGCCTTGATTGACTGATTTTCCACCCCCTGCCATCCCTGCGTCGCCCTGAGTCCTACCGACACTCAACAAGGCACTGCGGGTTGTGCTGGCTGATGCACCGGCTTTGCATCAAAACACATAGCGCAGAAAACATATCTTGCAATTCCCAGCCAACCTCAAGAAAAGGGGGTCTACGATCTCGCTCAATGAATGTGAAGGTGTTGCTTCTTTTCTTTTGAGAGGAAGGACTATTTCATGTTGTTTATGTATTCTACTTTACTAGATAAGTGGTCAGAAGCAGTTTTGCACAGCTTGGATGAACGTCGCAACCAATCTAGGCATCCATATAGGAGGCATAATGGTTCTTGTCGAATGGTTGTGTCGACATGGTATGTACTAGTTTGGCCATTTGCTATGAAAGTACTGGGCAATTCACTTGACGAGCCCGTTCTCTGAATTTGTGTGATGTGCGCGGTTGACCACATGCAACGGCGAGGTTGCGGATTTGTTTGTCATTGGCACGAGACGTGGGCACTTGGCTGCTCTGCTAGCGTGGGCGCGTGCAGTTACCTATTCGCACTACGGGGTAGAGAACACTTTGCATAGCCGTCATTGACATGCGTGCACAGCTCCACCATTTGCAGGCCATTTGAGCGATCAACAGAAAACCACTGTCAGCTTACCGCAAACAGTTGTTTTCCTTCAAAGAACGACCTCCCCCGAGAATGTGATCAGAACGACTTTGTTTGCAGGAAATTATGTGAAGCGAGATGAATCAAACTTCATCACGTTATAGTCGTTGCCATGCAGAGGCTTGTTGAGCATGCAGGCTTTGGGATTAGGACGGCATTTCCCCTCGTGCAGGGATGGGCATCCAACCCGAGACCCTGGCTCTCCCCGCCAGCCCCAACCTGACAGTGACCAAGACTGCTATGACACTGCCTGCCGGTGAGAAACATGGCCATGTATACTGAAAAACATAAGAAACACATGTTGAGCAAGAGCTTCCACTTGGCGCTACACTTGTGCTGAAACGGTGCGATTTCAAGCTTGAAAGCGTGAAAAGCGCAAAGCATTGCAAAAGACGATGGTCTCCCTTGGCTTGCTTCGTTTTTGCGGTGAATCTAGCGCGGCCGAGTCCAAATCAAGATCAAACCATTTTTAGCATATTGCAGTAAGCATGGCAGTTGATCAGCTGCTTGAATCTGGGGCTTGCCCCCGCTTGTATTTGCTAAAGTTTTGGGGCCCATGACCCTCGAAGCACCGCGTTGAGCCTCACGACACTTCGAAAGGAGCGACTACACACAGAAAGAGATTCTTGATAGGGGTTGTCACAACCTCAAAATGGATGTCGTTTGGGGGCTTCTCAAAAAAAACCTTAGACACCCCAAGGAAGAATGTTGAGCATTCCTAACTGGGCGTAGAGCTGGGCAGCTTCCTTTGCAACAAGTGCGCAAGGGTCCGAAGGAATGAATTCGGGGCCTGTTTTTGCTCCGGGCATGTGGCGGAGCCTTGCCAATTTTGACTTGCTGGATGAGCCGTTCAAGGGGCATTTGATTGAGATGAACGTTACTCAGTGATGGAACCGTATGACACGGTGATGGTTGGGACGGGCGTTTTTGCTCGGTACTCGCCCAAAATTCCATGAATCGCTTAACGTTTAGGCTTGTCTTGGAAATAGATAGCCCCATTGGAGGGAGGGGCTCCCTTTGGTTTCCCTCTATCCACACCCCAACTTGCGAAAACTCTATGGAGGTTTCCTGTTGGTTCCATTTTCACAGCCCAGAAGAAACACACATAAAAATATATTTGCCTCAAAGAAGGACACGCCCATTTATTTAACATTTGAGGCTTTGGCGACCTCATCTCGCCAGGAAATTTGAAGGTGTCTGAGAGCGGCAACTTGCTGGAAGCGCTCAGCGCGGCGGATTCCACGCATAGGCTTGCTATATATGTTGTTTTCTCGACCGCCTCCTCAACAGGGGGGGGGGAGAAAGGAAACATAAGAATGCCTCACTTAGGAGTTGAAGTGCGGCGGCGCACTGTAGATGAGTGGCGCAGTGCGTTTGTTTTCGAATTGGGAAGCATCCATTTGGGCAAGAAGCATACGCACATCCACCCTCTAGGTTGGAAGGCGTGGGGCCTTGTCGTGCCTTCGCCAAACAACCCAGTTCTTTCGTGTGAGCCAGAATCCACGAGGAGTTTTGGATGCGACACAGGTGCTAGACAGTAGCACGACAGCAAACAATTCGGCGTTCAAGGACTCTGTTGCTTGAGGTATTGAGGTAGACACAGATCAAGCGGAAATCAGAGGATGCCAAACAGAGATGCGTGCGCCGATATTCCGTGCAGGCTTTTGCCCCGCCCAGTTTAGCACAGGCATCGTTGAAAACTATCAAGGCTGCAGCATGACATATGTAACGTTGTAACTGTCTATTTGAGATGCCATTGTCAAATTGGCATCACGTTACACGATTGTGGACGAGCTGATGGAGTGGTGTTGAACCTGGCGAGTAAGGATGCTTATCGCCCGTGTTCCGGATGCCCAAAGCAATTACACCATGTGATGATGTGAAGCGGCCTTTGGTATTGATTGTTATGGCACATGAACGACATGCCCCCTGGTTGATGCAATGTGTGGTGCCTCAAGGACACTTCGATTGGGTGCTGTGCGAGTGGCACACCACTGATTATTTGCCGCTAGTGTCATGCAATAATATATGTATCGTGTTGTTTTTGAGTCACACATGAAAACACGGAGTAACATGAAGACATACACACACAGAGAGAGACGCACGGATAATGAATATCATACACAGAAACACAGATAAGCAGGCACACAGGGAGCGAACATCAGACACAGAGTATATGCATAGACACACGGACCAAGATGCATGCGCAAACACGCAAAACGGGCACGAGCGCACACGCGCACCCCCCACCCACCCGCCCGCCCGCCCGCCGCATTGTTCAAATGTCATGCGTTGAATTTCAGGCTTAACTTTGATCATGAGCCTTCCGGGTTGTGAGCAGATCATTACAGGTGCGAGTCCTCTTCCTTTTCCAATTATAGCTGCGGAGTTTCTGCCTGGAAAGCCCTGACTCTCTTTTGTCGGGGCTGGGTTTTGTTTAGGAAGATTGCGGATGCCTTTTTTCCTAGTTGTTGGCAAAGCTAATGGGCCCTAGGGTGGATCGGAAAATCATGCCAACAGGGGCCATTTTCACAGGTGGTCGCCAAGTATCATCATTAATGCGCACTTTGCCTTTTCGGAACATATTCTTCCTAGCGTCTTCGAAGTCAGCGATTTTCCCCTGTTTCGCTCGCAGCTCCTTGTGTCCTTGCAGGCCCGCCTCTGACGACACAC